GAGAGGCCCCGCGCCAGCCCAGGACCTCCGCGCAGACCTCCGCAGGCCTACGTTTATTGAATTCGTCTCCCCTTCGGAGGAGGAGGAGGAGGAGGAGGGAGGGGGGAGGGGGGGGGAGGGGGAGGGGGAGGAGGAGGAGCAGGAGGAGGAGGAGGAGGAGGAACAGGAAAGATACCGATGCCGCTGCTCCACGGACCCCTGTTGGGGGCGCGTTGTGATCAAGGTGCCGAGGCGCATCCAGCCGTGACGACGAGGGACGGGTAGCGTTAGGTCGGGCATGTCCCACCAAAGGCGGATTTTTTGGTTGCACGAGAACTCAAACATAGTCCAAACGTGCCGACCACGGCCATAACATAGTCGAACACTCGCCCCCCCACACACTATTTTTTTTACCAGGTTTGAACCTTCTTCCTGTAGAGAGAGACAGGCCCGACTTAAGGGTACACCCTGCGAGATGCTTAAGAAATCATGGGTTAAGAAATTCATAGTCTCAGAACTTGAATAAAATCCCAACATTTCCACTCAAATCTTAGGATTTACGTTGAAACGTTAAGAACAATCGAGACCCTGGCCGAAAATTTAAGTTTTCTTAAGCATCGCCTAAGGGGTACCGGTATCGGTCTCTCTTCCTCCTCTGGCCTCGAGCTCCCCCCGGCGGCTCCTCCCAGGCGTCGGCCGCGGAGTCCTCGGTGAGGCCGCCCTGCGTGGCGTCCGAGTCGGTCTCGTGGAAGGCGTCGACCGTGGAGGCACCTGAGGGGCAACGATTAGGGGGGGAATGGCATACACCCTGCGAAATGCTTTAGAAATCATGGGTTAAGAAATTCATAGTCTCGGAACTTGAATGAAAAACCCAAAGTTTCCATTCAAATCTTAGGATTTACATTGAAACGTTAAGAATAATCGAGACTCTGGCCGAAAACTTAGGTTTTCTTAAGCATCGCCTAAGGTGTAGGGTTAAGTCGGGCGTGTCCCCCTACAGGGGGATTCTGGACGGAAACTAAAAATATATGCAAAAAGCAATGGAGGCACATGCAGAAATGAGAATCCAAATCTTCCCCATGTCATTTTTTGACTATGGTTGAATACTCCTCCTGTAGAGGGACACGCCCGACTTAAGCATGGGGGGGGGAAGCATCGACGCGGAATCGGCGATACATCGCCGATCGATCAGCGATGGGCCCCCGATAGCAGATCCGCGCGTTCCTGGGCGGGCGCTGGGGCTATCGAACCCTCGTCGGCGAGCGGTGGGCGACCGGGGGTCGAGGCATCGCCCCCAGCATGCCCCTGCCCCCCATCTCGTTGCCCCTGCGCACCCCCGAGGTCCGCCTCGCCGCCCTCGCTGGAGGCCACCGCCCAGTGCCGGGCGGCGCGCTCGTCCGAGAGCTTGCCCTTGGCCTCGGTCGGAGATCCCGAGGCCGTGTGGTGATGGACCGCGCGGCGGCCTCCAAATCCCCAGAGACCTCACCGCCTGGGACCTCGCCCTCGTCGCCCGAGACGTCCTTGGAGAATGACCCGAGTCCCAAAACCGTGCAGCGGCCTCGAATCCCCACCGACTCACCACGCGGTGTGGTCCCCACACCGCTTCTCGCGCCATCCAGGAAGAAGACTACGCCACGACTGGGACGAACGCTCTGAAATGATTTGTCTCGGTCCTGGCCCCGCCCGGGAACTGTGCGTCGGATCGGGCCGCATCTGCAAAGGGGGGCTTCGGGATCGGATCGCACGCGCCGGGGTGCACAGCAGCGCCATGCAGGCATCGCGCCGCATCGGATCGTCGAACTGTCGGGCTCAGGTCGGGTCGGGCCGGCCAGCATCGATGACGAATCGGATCGATCGGATCGGCATGGACCCTGCCTCCGCCACGCCCGCGCCCACGGCGCAGCCGCCCAGCGCAACCTCAGCCTGGCAAGGAAAACTTGCATATACGCAGTACAGTGTCGGATGTCCCCGCGGACTTCTCGGGCAGCGCGGGACAACGACAGGAGGGGGGACTGGCTCCGAGGGGGGGAGACATCGAGCTGAATTCGGTGACGCATCGCGGACAGATCGGTGACACACCCCCGATAGCGAATCCAGACTCTCCGGGGCAGGGCGGGCCGTCGGGCCACCATCGGCGGTCAGTGGACGATTGGGGGCCCTCCCAGAGCCTACCCTCCCAAACGCTGCCCAAGAGCTGGGCCCCCTCCTGGCGCCGCCTCTGGAGCGCCTCGAGCATCTGGGGAAAGGGGGGTCCACAGAGATCCGATGCCGTGACTTTTGTCAATGCGCGGTCCCCAGAAGTCTTGACCCATTCTCCAGGACCGGTTTTCCATACTGAGTCGTTTCTTGACGGTCCCGAGGCCCGGCTAGGGCCCCTAGGGGCCGAAATTTGAGGAAAACCTCCGTCGCTATTTTTCAATACGCTGGATCTCTGGGTCCTGCGCCGACCCGAGAACTCCGCGCGGACCTCCGAAAGCTTATGCTCACGGAGTTTGCGGCTGCTCTCCGACAGCCTGCCCTGGCTGCAGACTCGCTCGCCTGCCCCTCGGGGCACGCAGCGGGTCCACGTTGCCGACCGCGTCAGAGTGCCGGCCGGTCTTGCGGCCCCGCCCGGCCCTCAGGGCCTTCTCTTCCAGGGCGGGGTCGGCCTGGCACATCGGCATGTAGAAGTCGACGATGATCCGGACCTGGGAGGGTGCCAACTAGCTAAACACCTACCCCGATCCTGGCCGTGCTCATCGTGGGCCTGGGACCTTTGCGTCCGCCCTCCTGGCTCGGCGAAGAGGGGACTTGGTGCTGTGATGTGATGTGTCCTGATGCGATGTGATGTAGGTGTGCTGTGCTCTGCTGTTCTGTGCTGTGTGGCCTCGCGCGCACGCACACGCACAGCTTCGCTGCGCCCTGATGCGCTGCAATGCGCAGTGCCAGCGCAACCGTTTCCCTTCTGGATCGCCGCTGTGGCTTGGTCGGGTGATGCGGCGGTATGTGCTTGCATGCTGCGTCTGCCTGGACGTGGACCTGACGTTGGCCGTTGGCGTGGTCCTTTCCTCCTCCTTCCCCACCCCCCCGGCTCTCCCGCTCGCCGCCATGGCGTGCCTCCCTGGAGCCGCGGTGCCTGTCAGAACTTTGCGGCTGCGGCATGTGCGACCAACTGTTGGCCCAGTCGACGCCAAGGCGTGGCTCCCGGGAGGCGCGGTCCCTGTCTGACTTTTGCGGCGTGTGTGTGCGACGAGCTTTTGGCCCAGCGTTGTATGGGCAATGGGGGCCTCGAACCTGGGCGGGTCGGCGCTGCCCTTCTCGAGGTCGCTCCTGAAGGAGTCCGTGGTGGATGGAACCGTCCTGAGCGTTTTCGGCCCCCGTGCTGTGCTACGAAGCGCCCCCTCCCAGGGCGCGTTCCTCCTCCTCCTCCTCCTCCTCCTCCTCCTCCTCCTCCTCCTCCTCCTCCTCCTCCTCCTCCTCCTCCTCCTCCTCCTCCTCCTCCTCCTCCTCCTCCCCTGCCTCCTCCGTCATATCCTCCTCCTCCTCCTCCTCCTCCTCCTCCTCCTCTTTCTGCGCTCCCTCCCTCCTCCGCGCACGCGCACGGCGCACAACCGTGCTGAGTGGGAAAAGGCCTGCTTCCTCATCCACCCGTGGCACTCCCACACTGTATCGCGAGCCCTGCGACGAATTTAGGGGAGCAACAAGTGACATAAACATAAAAAAACTCGGAGGTCCGCAGATTTCTCGGATCGGCGCTGGGGCCCCCCGGCGGCGCCTCCGGCGCCGCCCCTGGCGAGATCCGCGCGCCAGGGAGGGGGGTCCAGCGCGGATCCCAGAAATCCGCGTGGACCTCCGAGTTGTTTGTGTATGTCACTTTTTGCTCCCCTAGAATTGCGTGGTGTAGGTGTCGCCCCATCACACCACCCCGAACTGACTGACGGCCTTCCTCGCCGAGACGGCGCGTGTACAGCATGGGCCGCATGCTGCGCCGAACTTGCGGTGCCATGGTGGGGATGCGACGCGCGTGCTTGGCAGAGGCTGGGACCACCAATGCAGGGATGGGGCTGGTCCCGGCGGTTGAGCGCATCCAGAGTAGCGTGCGGGGTGTCTGTTTCGGTTGTTGGTGGCTGGACAACGGGCCGTGCCGAACCGACGTGCCGTCCCCTCGTCCATCGCCGCCTGCAATGCTTGCCTTAGCGTGCGGCCTGGCTTGAGACGAAACGCGAATACGGCGTCTCGCTTATAGCGGGGGGCGAACGAGCACAAACACACAAACAAACAGACAGACAGACAGACAGACAGACAGACAGACAGACAGACAGACAGACAGACAGACAGACAGCCAGCCAGCCAGACAGCCAGCCAGCCAGACAGACAGACAGACAGCCAGACACCGATCCTGGGCCCAGGGTTGGCCTGGCCAGGACCGGTACAGGTGTGCAGACGGCGCCCTCCGAGGACCGTCTTCGCCACCGAGGCGTGGCCGCAGCGCTCCTTCACGTTCTGCAGCCACTGCCACTGCTCGGCGGGCAGGGCGAGCAAGTGGTCCGACTTGGCGCCGCCCCTGGCGCCCGCGGAGCACCGTCGGCAGCGGATCACCAGGAAGATCTTCCTCTTGGCGGCGGGAGGCTCGGAGTTCGCCCAGTGGAGCAGCTTCTGGAGCACGCTCGACATGCCGGGATGGCCTTGGCGCGCTGCGACTGCGCTGAGCCACTCGGCCTCTGCCCGCGGCGCGCCGAGGAGGAGGAGGAGGAGGAGGAGGAGGAGGAGGAGCAGGAGGAGGAGGAGGAGGAGGAGGAGGAGGAGGAGGAGGAGGAGGAGGAGGAGGAGGAGAGGGGGGAGGGAGGAGAAGGAGGAGGAGGAGGAGGAAGAGGACCTGGGTAAACCCAAGAGTCATCAACGATGTTGGAATGAACCCTCCCTCCAAGCTCCCTCTTCATAGGCCCCTATAACGGTCTATTTCCATGAAAGGAACTGCCTCGCTGGAAGACAACATTTTGAAGATCCTGAATCGTGCCCAAACATTGTTCTCGGGATGTCAAGGCCACGTATCAATCCGACTGCTGCGTCTTGATGATCCAGAATCGTGCCAGAACGCCAATTCTGGGACTTCAACACAGCGAATCAACATAACTGCTGCGCCCGCATAATCCAGAAACCTTCCAGCACACCATTTCTGGTGCGTTGATCATGGGGATCCGTGGAGCTCTTGCAACTTGTTATATAAAAACGAATGTGCGCGGCGGTCAGGCGAGAGCACACATTTTGAGAAGGAACTGCCCTGATTCCGTGAATACCCTGCATTGTTTAACGGATGTGCGCGGCGCTAGGGCGACAGCCACATTTTGAAAACAACCCGCTTTCCATATGTAAAACTGGTGACATTGTTTTAAACGAATGTGCGCTGCGCTGAGGCGAGGGGCACATTTTGCAAGCCACCCGCTCTCAATCCGTGAAGCTCTTGCGGATGCTTAACACGAGTGTGAGCGGCGCTAAAACGAGAGCCACAATTTGAAAACCATCCGCCCTCAATCCGTGAAACACTTGCAAATTTGAAAACGATTGTGCGCGGCGCTGAGGCGAGAACCACATTTTGAAAACCACCCGAACTCAATCCGTGAAACCCGTGTACACCTTTAAAACGAATGTGCGCGGCGCTAAGGCGAGAGCCACATTTTGAAAGCCATCCGCCTTCCATCTGTGAAAATGCTGTCATTTTCTTAGCTTCAGAATCATAAATGGTGAGGACGTCTCAGGCGGAACGCACGACCCGCCCTAAAAACTGGCCTCGGGGTGCGACAGGGAGGTCTTATCTATAAAGAGAAAGAAGGAATGGAGGAGGAGGAGGAGCAGGAGGAGGAGGAGGAGGAGGTGTAGGACGAAAAGGAGGAAGAGGCGGAGGAGGAGGGAGAGGACGAGGAGCACAAGAGTGGTTGTTGTCCCAAACAGCCAGCAACGTCTGGGGGAACCGCCCTCTTTGAAGGGCGGTGGCGGTGTCTGCTGGCTCCCATTCAGAAAACTCCCCACGCGCGGCAGACACGCGGCCGGCAAAGGAGGAGGAAATAGGAGGAACAGAGAAAGAGAAAGGAGGAGGAGACAGAGGAGGCCGGAGGAGGGCAGGCTGGCAGGGGGCAAGCTTTCTCAGAGGGCGGCTGGGATTCTTCGGAGGCCCTCTGGCCTTCCGAGGAGCCATCTTGTGAGGCTTCGGAGAAGGCCCAGAAAACTTCTCAGACAACCAATTGGGTGCAAATATGCGCGCGCTAATAATAAAAAGGCGGAGGGGAGGAAAGGAGAGAGAACAGAGGAGGAACAGCGACGGAGGAGTAGGATGATCTCTTTGTCGGTAAAACGGCCGCGCGGCGTCTCGCAGCCCGCCGCGCCGGCACCTGTCGTGTTGGCGCCAGTCGGGAGACCTGCCGACGAGGCTGGACGCCCGCTCAGGCACGCATGCGCCCATTCAGCCACGTGCGCGCCGGAAGGAAGCGAAGCGGGACGGGTGGGCATCCCTGGTCTTGAGCCCGGCGGCTACATACCCAAAATGCATGCCCGTGCCCCTGCACCTAACCTGCAATGCTATCCTACCAGATTGTACCAGATAGGTGCAGATACACGTGCATTAACAATAAGACGAGGGGAGAAAAACATGGAGGACGCAGAGGAGGGACAAGGACGGAGACAAACGGTGATTTTTTTCGGCATAGCAGCCGCGCAGCGTCACGCGGCCCTCCGCGCTGTCACCTGTCGTGCCAGCGCCAGCTGGGCGTCCCGCCGACGAGGCTGGACGCCAGCTCAGGCACGCATGCGGCCATTCAGCCACGTGCGCGCCGGAAGGAAGCGAAGCGAAGCGGGTGGGCATCCCTGGTCTTGAGACCGACGGCTACATGCCCAAAGTGCATGCCCGTGCCCCTGCACCTAACTTGCAGTCCTTTCCTACCAGATTGTTCAAGATAGGTGCAGCTACACGTGTACGAACTGACAGAGAAGGAGAGGACACAGACAAGGAACAAAGACGAAGGAGTAGGAGGATCTCTTTTTCAGCAAAGCGGCAGTGCAGCGTCACGCAGCCCGCCACGCCGGCGCATGTCGTGCAAGCGCCAGCCGGGCGTCCCGCCAGCGAGGTTGGTCGCCCGCGCAGGCGCGCATGCGGCCAATCAGCCACATGCACTCAAGAAGCGCATCACGAGGCCGACGTGCCACTGGCCTGCGACCTTGAGCGGGCGCCAGGCCGCCTCGGCGGGCAACCCCTCGCCGACGGCAACTCCCCGGCATAGGTTGCGCCCGTGGCAGGTCGGGGAGCAGACGGCTGCACACATGCGCGGGCGCCGTGCCCCAGACCGAACGCCCGGACACACACACACACACACACACACACACACACACACACACACACACACACACGCGCGCACACACACACACACACACTCATTTACACACTTACACACTTACACACTTACACACTTACACTTACACACTTACGCACTTACACACATGCACACATAAACACTTCCACACCTCCACACTTGCAAACTTACACACTTACACACTTCGACACTTCGACACTTAGACACTTACAAACTTTACACTCACACTTTCACACAACACCGCACTAAAGATCCCGACCTTAATGGCCAAATATATCAAAGGAAAGCTGCAAGAGGCAGCAGGAAAGGTGGGGACGCGGCCGACTCGCACCCGAGAGGCCTGGCCCACTCGGCCACCTGCGCTGGGCGCGCACGCGCCGAGAAAACGCGCGCGGCGGCGCCACCGAACCCACTGACTTCCAATGCCCACGTCGAAAAAATCCACCCCCCCGGAATCTTCTGAACTTGTGGGGGGGGGGCGCCGGCGCGGGTGAAGGCCGCGGGGGGGGGGCCACCACTCCAGCATAGCAGGCGCCCGGCCGCTCCATCTCCAGGAACCCACCGGGCGTACCAGAAGGCTCGCCAGGATCCCTGGGGCGGCCCCCAGGCGTACCCGTTGACTGGGCCCCACTGCCCATTCTCCCCGCCAACGGCCGTCCAACTCCCGCGGAGGGATGCTGGCTCCCTGCTGGCGCTCCTCGCCCTGATCCTCCAATGGAAGGCTCCAAGTCGTCGTCGTGGTCGCAGTCCCCCGCCCCGTTTCGGCCGCGGACGCGGGCGCAGCGGGCTGTGTTCGCCACTCCCCGTGTCCCTCGTTGGCCGGAGCGCCAGGCGGGCCGCGTCCCTTCCCCTGCCTCCCCTCGCCGTGCAGACTGTGGTGGGCCCCGAGGCTGGCTTCGGAACGGGCGGGGCGGCTGGGAGCGCGGGCGGTGCCTGGGCGTCTGGGGCCCCACCCGATAGGCCACCTCCCCGCAATGTTCCCAACGTGTAGGTACCCGCTCTGCACGAAGGCCGTCACGTGGATGGCGGTTACCCATGTTACCGTTGCCCTCGCATTGCCAACACGGCGTCCGCCCGTTGGCCGCCCGCGCAAGTGAGGCCTCCAGGCCCACCGAAGCAACCATGGTCTTGAGCCCGACGGCGACAGACCCAAAGTGCATGCCTTTGCCCCTGCACCTCACCTGCAGCCTTGTGCTACCAGACTATACAAGATGCCTCCTGACCCTTCTGGGAAGGCCCGCCCCTAATCGGGGAAACAAACGAAATACCGATCCCGCTACTCTCCTGACCTCTCCCAAGGCGCGTTCTGCCCATGATCTCCGAGCGAATCCAGCCGCGGCGGCGCGAGGGACGAGTACAGCCGTCGTGCCACCGCGAGGAAGGCCGGCGAGGGAAGAAGCGAAGAGGCTTCTCTCTGACTTCGGCGAGACTCGGCCACGAACAGGCCCCGCGACCCACAGTCGGGCCGCTGATATAAGGATAGGTCAGTACTACGAGGCCCAAACGTATACACCACCACCACCTCCCTCACCTCTCGCTCACCCAGGGAAGAAGAAAGGAATCAGAGGGTAGAGGAGGGAGGAGGAATCGACGTGGTGTTGGTGGTGTATATTCTATTCTTGGGGCCCGTGAGTAAGGAACCAAGCCACGTTTTGGCCCAAGAAGCGCCTCTCTGACTTGGGCACGCCTCGGCGCCACGAACAGGCCCCACGACTGGGCCGCTGATGTAAGGAACGGTCAAGAAGGAACGAAACCACTTTTTGGCCCAAGAAGCGCCTCTCTGACTTCGGCACGCCTCGGCCACGAAGAGGCCCCACGACCTACAGTCGGGCAGCTGATGTTATAAGGAATGGTCAAGAAGGAACGAAGCCACTTTTCGGCCCCAGAAGCGCCGACGTGCACGAGGAGGGCCAGAGGAAAAACCACATGATGACCTTAGGGCCATCGATCCCCTTGCGCACCCAACATGTTTCTTAATTCAGCGTTCTGTCCGTCGATCTTCAGGAAGCGGCCCGAGGACCATAGCCTCCCTGCTGAATCCAAGGTGGTCTCTGACATCGGTGTCTTCCCAGACCGAAACTGCGCTTTGTTCCCAAAGCCCTCCTGTGCTGGGATCTCGTTTTGAATACAGCGCTGTGGTCTCCAACCTACTCCTCCCCATCTCTTCCTCCTATACTGCGCTGCAGTATCCACTCCACTCCTCCCCTTTCCCTCATCCTCTTCCTCCTCCTCCTCCTCCTCCTCGTCCTCGTCCTCGTCCTCCCCCTCCTCCTCCTCCTTCTCCTCCTCCCCCTCCTCGTCATCCTCCTCGTCCTCGTCGTCCTCCTCCTCCTCCTTCTCCTCCTCCACCTCCTCCTCCTGGCCCCCTCCTCCTGCCTCCTCCTCGGCAGTGCGGATCCCCGGTGGCTGCGAACTGTGCGGCTGTCGCCACTTGCCTGGGCTCGTGGGAGGTCTAGTGGAGTCGGGAACCACGCGCATCCAGACGGGACCACGATACTCTATGGAGGGCTGAGAACTGCGCAATTGTCACACTTTCGTGGGTTCCTGGGAAGTCCAACGGAGTCGGCGGCCACGCGGATCCATGTGGGACCTCGCTGCTCCCTGGGTGGCTGCGAAATGCGTTACCGTCGCCACTTTCGTGGACTCCTGGAAAGTTCAACGGAACCGGGGGCCACGCGGATCCATTTAGGACCACGCTGCTCCCTGGGAGGTTGCGAACTGCGCAGCTGTGGCCACCTTCGTGGGCTCCTGGGAATTCCGAAACAATCACGGGCCACGGGCATCCATTTGGAACCTGGCTGCTCCCTGGGTGGCCGCGAACTTCGCGCAGCTGTAGCCACCTTCGTGGGTTACCGGAAAGTACAGCGGAGCCCCCGATCTCATTTGGAACCTCGCAGCTCCCTGGGTGGCCGCGAATTTTGCAGCTGTGACCTCCTTCGTGGCCCCCTGGAAGATCCACCGGAATCGGGGCCACGCGCATCCATTCGGGACCTCGGCACTCCCTGGGGCGGCTGCGAAGTGCGCCACTGCCACCGCCTTCGTGGGTTCGCTAGAAATCCAACGGGATCGGGGCCACGAGCATCCAGACGCGACCTCGCTGCTCCCTGGGCGGCTGCGAAATGCGAAACTGTCACTACTTTCGTAGGCTCCTGGGAGGTCGAACGGAGTCCGGGGCCACGCGCATCCACTTGGGACCTCGCTACCCCGTGGGTGGCTACGAAAAACGCCACTGTCGCAAGTTTCGTGGGCTCCTGGGAGGCTCAGCGGAACCAGGGGCCACGCCGATCCATTTGGGACCTCGCTGCTTCCTGGGTGGCTGCGAAGCGAGCAGCTGTAACCACTTTCGCGGCTTCCTGGGAATCCCAAAAAAGGAATTGGTGAATTTGGGGCCAAGCGCATCCATTTAGGACATCGCTGCTCCCTGGGTGGTTGCGATCTGCGCAGTTGTGACCACCTGCGTGGGCTCCTGGGAATCCCAGAGGAATCACGGGCCACGCGCATCCATTTGGGACATTGTTGCTCCTTGGGTGGCTGCGAGCTGCGCAGCTTTGACCACCTCCGTTGGCTCCTGGGAGGTCATGCGGAATCGGGAGCTGCGCACATCCATTTGGGAGCTCGCTGCCCCGCGGGTGGCTGCGAAGAGCGCCGCTGTCACCAGTTCTCGTGGACGCTTGGGAGGCTCGGCGGAAGTGAGGGCAGCGCGGGTCCATTTGGGGCATCGCGGTTCCCTCGCGTGCTGCAAAGCTCGGGTCGGGCAAAAGGGGGGGATAGCAAAGGGGGGGTTTGAGAATCAGCTCACGTAGCTGATTTTCCCGGCGCCTCCCGGCGCCGGAGGCGGCGATGTATCGAGGAATGGGCCCCTCGGCGGGGCCGAAACCAGCTGCATGCAGCAGATTTCGTAACCCCCCCTTTCCCAATCCCCCCCTTTCGCCCGACCCGAAAAGCGCCCAAATGTCGTCGCTGTCGTGCGCTCGTGGGGACGCACGGCGGAGGCGAGGGCAGCGCAGCTCCGGCCCGGAGCGTCGCAGATCGTCTCCCTTGTGCGTGCTGCGAAGAGTGCAGTTACGGTCTCTTTGGTGGGCCACTTTTTTTTTTTTTTTTAAACCCCTATCAACCCCTGAACTTCTTTTCGATGCTTGAGGGCACTGTGCCTCAAGACCCCACTTCGGGCACTTCAAGCCACCTTCCGCGGCCTGTAGTGGCCCGCCTCTTTGGTGGGCCACTTTGAAGTCCAACGGAATCGGGGTCCACGCAAATCCAGCCGGGACTTCGCGGCTTCCTGGGTGGCTGCGAACTGCGCAATTGTCGCCGTTTTCGTAGCCTCCTGTGAGGTCCAGCGGAGTCGGGGGACACGCGCATCCACTGGGGACCTCGCCACTTCCGTGGGCTCCTGGATGCAGCGGAAGGGGGGACCACGCAGATCCAATCGTGACCTCGCGGCTCCCTGGATGTCTGCGAACTGCGCGACTGTCACCACGTTCGTCGGCTCCTGGGCGGTCCAGCGGAGTCGGGGGCCGCGCAGATCCAGCGAGGGCGTCGCGGTCTCCCGGGCGGCCGCGAACTGCGCAACGCCCGCCATGTTCGCGGGCTCCTGCTTTTTGGGGGGCCGCCGGCGGACGTGGCCGCGCGGTTCCAGGCTGCAGCGCCTGCGCGCGAGGCTGCAGGAAGCAGCTCGTGAAGATGGCGCGCGCGCTCGGCCTTGCCGGGATTTTGCGCGGCTGAAGGGGCGAGGGCGGCGTGCGGGATCTGGGCGAGCGCGCGCATCGGCTGCTGTTTTGACGGCGCCGCTGGCTGCTCGCAGCGGGCGACAACCAGTCGAATGCGAAAAAGCGCGCGCCCACGTGGCGTGTGGCGCTGTGCCATCAGTCAGCCCGCTGCGCTGTTGCCACAGAGCGCAAATTGCTGAAGCGTCACGTAGCGCATGGCGCTGTCCTCAGCGCCCCCCCCTCCTCAAGCACCCGTCACCTGCAGCAGCAGCGCGGGCGGACCGAGCAGACGTAGCGTTACGCTCACCAGCGTGTCTCCCTCCTGCTTCGTAATCCTCCTTGCCCTCCACCCCCTCCTCCTCCTCCTCCTCCTCCTCCTCCTCATCTTCCTCCTCCTCCTCCTCCGCCTCCTCCTACTCCTCCTCCACGTTTGCCTCCCGTCCAATGTTGCGCAGGTGTGCGACATGCCTGGCCCGACATTCGAACGCCTTCTCGAGTGCTGCAGATGTGCGCATTTCGCAATCTGTCCCTATGTATCAAGGGCTCACACTCGTAGCCGCCTCACGTAAAGGGTTGGATAAGTCTTGGGGGCTTCTTCTCAATGCGTGGACCCCTTGGGTCCCAGGACTGCGTTTCATCCTGCCTCGCGTTTTGACGGTCCCCTCCCCCCCGCGGCCGCCCCGACCCTTCCCTCCCCCTCCTCCTGCATGCCGGCCAATTCGCTCTGTAGTGCCCCCGCATCGCTGCCGCGCCGGAGCGGATCGGCCCGCCTCGCCGCCGGCGAACAAAACAACAACAACATGGCTTGACGGTCCCCCGGGGTCCAGCGCTGGCCCCAGCAGAGGCTAACCGACGCGAGCACGTCCGGGACCCGAAGGCCCCGGAGCCCCTCCCGACCCCAAGGCGCTCCCCGCGTCGGCGTCCTGGCTGCGGCGGTGTCGGTGCGGCGGGCTCGTGTCGCGAGGGCCTTCGCGTTGCTTTCGGATGCCCCGTGGGCCGTTGAACCTTGAACGATCGGCGGCTTTTCGGTCGCCAGGTCGTTGCATACTGGACGATTCTGGGCCGCTGGCGGCGTTCAACCTTGAACGCCCGTGGCGGGGTCGCCACCACGTGGACTCTCGACATGACGCGGACCTGCCGCATACTTTTACCTGACCGATCCCTGCTTCGGCCTCCCTTGACGGCCCGATCCCGGTGACAGCAGCCTCGTTCGTTCGTTCCTGAGGGCTCCGTGCCAGCCTGCTCAGAGAATCGTCCCGCCCCATTATGATTCTCCCCCGAGCCTCGTCGGCCGTGAGCGGTACGGTCTCCTCGCGCACCTTGGGCGCGAACGAATGCGGGGGGCGAAGAAGGGGAGGGTGAAGAGAGGTGCCCTTGTCGGTCCCCGAGGGCCCCGATGGGGCCCTAAAGGGCCCCTCCAGGGGCCCCAAAGGGCTCCTTTTCTGCAGCCCTCGCCGCCTCCCCCAATGTACAGTGGGGGCACTGGTTAAGGAAGCATTGGATAAGGAATCCAATCGTGGATCGGCCGTGGATATCACCGCCGCCCTCGTCAGATAAGGAAACCTCCAGGGTCTGACGCCTCCCGGGCACGTTCCTTGACCGACGCCCCCACCGTACCGCCCTCCCATTCATTCGCGCCCAGAGCACCTCCCCGCCGACCGGCGCCGGGTCCTCGTGCCGTGGGGAGAGAGAAGGTCGGGCACCGCCAATGGGGGGGGGGCCCACCACAGGAGGGACGCCAGCTCTCCTCCTGGAAATCGGAAGTCGAGGGCCCAGCCATGCTGGCGTCGCGAGCAGGAGGTCACGAGGAGAATCTCGTGGCCGTGTTCGGCCCCTGGGGGCCCGTACTGGGCCCCCGGGGCATCAAGAGCGGTCTCGGGCTGAAAAGCAGGCCCTGTGGAAAGGGTCGAGACCTCCAGGGACCCCGCATTCTCGCCATCGCTCGACGCGTTGACCGAATCATACCGGAGGATGTTTTGGGAGGCCCCGAACGCCCGCAAAACCTCAGGACCACGTCCCTCCCAGACATCCGGCACTGTGACTTTTCAACACGCGGCCCTTGGAGCGAACCAAAAGCACCCTGAATGCGGCAGCGTCATGAGCGGCTGCAGGAAGTCACCGCGCAGCGCGCGCAGCGAGGAAACCCAAGGCACCCTGACGAAAAAACATATGGTTTCTTGGTGCTCTTCCCCACTGTAAGCCAGCCCCCAGGAGCACTGCCAGGGGTGCGCTCCGACCAGACTTCCGAGGCGGACCTCGCCGTAACGACGAGCAGCCGCCCTGCAGGCCCCCCGAAAAAGCGCGACGCCTCTCCCCAATCCTCCTCCTCCTCCTCCTCCTCCTCCTCCTCCTCCTCCTCCTCCTCCTCCTCCTCATTCTCGTCCTCCTCCTCCTCCTCCCTCTCCTCCTCCTCCTCCTCCGCCACCTCCTCTTCCTCCTCCTCCTCCTGATCCGCCTCCTCCTCCTCCTCCTCCTCCTCCTCCTCCTCCTCCTCCTCCTCCTCCTCCTCCTGCGACACAGATTGACTGACAGCTGGGTTAGTGTGACAAGCCCCAAACTACTCGCTAACGCTGCGCGTGGGAGCGAGCCCACCTGCAGCCAGGTCTGAAGGACCCGAACGAAAGGGACGCGCACGCCTTCCCCCTGAGGCGGGGCCGGAAGCATGCCAAAACATTGTTCTCGGGATTCTAACGCCACGGGTCAACCTGACTGTTGTGTCTTGACGACCCTGAATCGCGCCAGAACGCCATTCAAGGGACTTCAACACCGCGAATCAACGTAACTGTTGCGCCCTCGTGATCCGGAACCCTTCCAAAACGCAACCTCTAGTACGCTGATCATGGGAATATACGAAACTCTTGTAAAACGAATGTGCGCAGCGCTATGGCGAGAGCCACATTTTGAAAACGACGCGCCCTCAATCCGTGACGCTCTTGCAAATCTTGAAAACGAATGCGCGCGGCGCTGAGGCGAGAGCCACACTTGAAAACCACCCGCCCTCAATCTGCGAAGCTCTTGCAAATTGTGAAAGAGGATGTGCGCGGCGCTAGGGCGAGAGCCACATTTTGAAAACCACCCGCCTTCAAACCGTAGAACTCTTGCAAATTTTGAAAATGAACGCGCGCGGCGCTGAAACGATAACCACATTTTGAAAACGAGCCGCCCTCAATCCGTGAAACTTTTGCAAAGTTTGAAAACGAATGTGCGCGGCGCTAAGGCGACAGCCACACTTTGAAAAGAACCCGCCCTCCATATGTGAAGCTGTTGGTATTTTTCAGCTTCAGGGTCATACGTGGTGAGGAAGTCTCGACACGACCGGCCTGCCCTAAATACTGGCCCCGTGGTGAGACAGGGAGACGCTGTGTATAAGGAAAAGGGATTAAAGATGAGGAGGAGGAGGAGGAGAAGGAAAAGGAGGAAGGAGGAGGAGGAGGAAAAGGAGGATGATGATGATGCCCGCGGGGTGAGGCGGACCGCGTCGAGCCACGGCCGCCCCTGCGAGGCGCGCGCCCCGCGCGCGCCCGCGCCTCGGCGCAGCTACGCGCCCGAGGCTGTCGGCCAGGCCTCACCCCGCGCGGCCCGCAGCAGCCTCGCCACCTTGGCTGCGAAGCTTGGCGTGCTGCTGCGCTCCCGCGCGCCGCGCCGCGGCCTCGGCCAGCCGCCTCCGCCGCCCGCAGCCCCTGCTTCGCTTCGAGCAGCAGAGCCACCTGCGGGCGGCAGCCTCTCCTCCTGCAGCCTGCCCTCCACGGCCGCGTTGTCGCCGCCCGCAGCCCCTGCTTCGCATCGAGCAGCAGGTTCCCCTGCAGGCGGCTGGCCCTCCTCCTGTGGCCTGACCCCTTTGGACTCGCGCGGCGGGGGCGGTCCGCCGTCACTGCCACCTGCAGCCACCTCGTCTCCTCCCTGGGCAGGGCCCGCCACAGGCCGCTGGCTCTCGTCCTGCTGCTTGGCCACCTTGGCCACACGCCTCGGCGACTGCAAGGGCGGCGTCAGCTCGGCCAGCCTCGGCGAGCTGCTGCGCACTCGCGCGCGGCGCCGCAGGCCTGGCCCTCCGCCGCCGCCCGCAGTCCCCGCCTCGCCTCGTGCCGCGGCAGGGCGCGCCGCGGCTGCGCGCCTGCCGCCAGCACGCCCGCTCGGGCCAGCCGCCGCGCTGTAGTCCTCCACGTCGTCCGCCAGCACCTTGACTCCTCTGGCCTCGCGTGGCTGGGGCGGTCCGCCGCCGCTGCCACCTGCAGCCACCTCGTCTCCTCTCTCGGCAGGGCCCGCCTCGGGCCGCTGGCTCCCCTCCTGCTGCCAGGCCACCTCGGCCGCCGTCTTCGGCGCCAGCGAGGGCGGCGTCGGAGCGGCCTGCCTCGGCGAGCTGCTGCACACGCACGCGCGGCGCCGCGGGCCCGGCCCGCCGCCGCCGCCCGCAGGCCCTGCCTCGCCTCTTGCGGCATCCTGGCGCGCCGCGGCTGCGCGCCCTCTGCCAGCTCGCCCTCTCGGGCCAGCCGCAACGCGGTAGCCCCCAGGGGTCAGGGGACGCAGGAAGTCCACGTCCTCCCCTTCCCCGCCACCTGGAGCTCCTCCTGGCGGGCGCAAGGCGTGGCCGTCCTCCACCCCCGCGATGCCCTGCGGCGGCTGGCCTCTCTCCTCCTGCGCGTCGTCCGCCATCATCGGCGGGGGCGGTCCGCCGCCGCTGCCACCTGTGGCCACCTCGTCTCCTCCCTCGGCAGGGCCCGCCTCAGTCCTCTGGCTCTCCTCCTGCTGCTGCTTGGCCACCTTGGCCGCCCGCTTCGGCGACCTCGAGGGCGGCGTCAGAGCGGCTTGCCTCAGCGATCTGCTGCGCACACGCGCGCGGCGCCGCGGGCCTGGCCCTCCGCCGCCGCCCGCAGGCCCTGCTTCGTCTCCTGCATCGGCCTGGTGCGCCGCGGCTGCACGCCTGCCGCCAGCTCGCCCTCTCAGGCCAGCCGCCGCTCTGGAGCCCTCAGGGGTCAGGGGACGCAGTGAGCCCGCATCCTCCCCTGCCCCACCACCTGGAGCTCCTCCTGGCGGGCTCGAGGAGTGGCCGTCCTCCTCCTCCGCGATGTCCCCCGGCGACTGGCCTCTCCCTTCCTGCACGTCGTCCGCCAGCACCGTGATGTTGACTGCCACCTCGCTGACCACCTTCGGAGCCAGCCCCTTCCTCAACCTCGCGACTGCGGCGGCACCTGCAGCCGACGGGACTCTCTTGCACTCGAGGTGGAAGGAGCTCGCTCTGGCCGCGCCTGTGAACCCGCACGCCCTGCAAGCGACCAGCGGCATCCTGCGCACCAGCAGCCTCCCATCCACAGGCGCGAGGAGCACCAGGTCGTGCGACGCCCTCTGCTGCGCCTTCAGCCTGTTGTTGGCCCTGATCGCCTCGGCGACGATGCTGCCAGGGCACTCACCTGATCTGCCTGACCATCTGCAAACCTCGCACCAGGGACGCTGGCCAGGCGGCCTCCTCCAGACGCAGGCCATCCTCGCCGCTGGCTCCTTGCGCACTGGCAGCGCTCGCTGCACCTTCGTCTTGCCGTGCGTGGTGTCGCTGCCGTCGACCCAGCTGCCGACTGCCGCGCACCACATGGCTGCTCGTTCGACCACGTCTCGACTCCTCTCCAGGCGCTCTCTGTCCCGCGCGGGGAGGCGCCCGCTGGCCGCCGCAGCCTTTGCCGCCCTGTCAGCTAGTCGGTTGCCGTACCAATCTCTGTACAGCACCTCGCCTGCCGCCACCTGCCGCCGCGTGCTGTGGCTGGGCATCCACCTGAGGCTGACCTCATGCCCGAGACCTCCTCGCTCGTCCAGCAGGTCCCAGGCTCGCCGCCACAGGTGAGCCCACGTGTACGCGTAGCCCGTGGTGCCCACCCTGCCGACCTTGTAGAAGCCGTCGTACACGTACTTGGAGTCGACCACCAGCACCGTGACCCCTTGGCCAAACCTGAGCGCCATGATCACCGCCGTGAGCTCCCCGCCGTTGATGTCCACGCAGTGGCCCTCCATCTGGCCAGCGATGGAAGCCCTGTACCCGTCACTGTGCGCCTGCAGCGCCACCACACTCCAGCCAACTGCCGCCACCTCCTCGTAGTCCGCCTCGAACGCCGAGCCGTCGAGAAAGAGCTCGCCTTCAGGGAGGGTGCCTCCATCGTGGTCGCCCTTCCAGCACACGTCGCTGCACACTGGCGGGCGGCAGATGCCCCGCGGTGTCGGCCACGGGCACCTCTCCAGCAGCAGCTGCACCTCAGGCCTTCCGCTCTGCCTTCGGAGGCCTGCCAAATCCTCTGGGACCGTCAGCACCTCACTCCAGCACGGGCAGTCGAAGTGCCTGTGCATCAGCGTGCCCCTGGCGCCACACCTCAAGCACCCAGCACTGGGCGCCAGCCCCTTCTCCTCCTTGCGCGCCTGCGCCCACTGCCCATCGATGATGAGGGACCTCAGGTAGGCCTGCTCTCGCGCCGTCAACCGAACCCTGGTGCGAGGTGCTCCCTCCTCACGGCGTGGCTCGTCGGCTTTCCTGGCACAGCCAGAGGAGGTGAGCCTGACCAGGGGCTCCAGCTCGCCGCCACCAGCCAAGTGCGCGCACCCTGGGGCTTTGCTGACCTGCCTCCACTGCCAGCGCTGCACTGCTCTCCTCATCAGCTTGGCCACGACCCACGGCGCGCAGTCGAAGGGCGCGA